AAAATAAATATAGCACAGTACAACTGAATTAGCCTTAGGCCTTACAGCAGCTGTTTAAAACAGCACAGGGGGCAAATGGTCATGAAATAATATTTGTAACTTTGTGCTGTGGGCAGATTCTACACCAGAATAAATTATTTATTTGAAGCTGGTAGTAAATACCTAACCCAGCACATCTGGATTGACTTGTGCTTGCAATGTGGCTTTACATTTGTGTTTCCCAGTGAGAACAATTTATTGGTAATATTTCTTATTGCTGTCATTGCTCATTTTGCAGTTTATCCAAAGGCGTATCAACTAACCAGTAACTTAAGCAAACGCAATTCCAAGCATGAAAATGCTGTTTCTGAATAAAAGAACAGAGCAAGAAGCCATTTTCCTACTAGTACTTTATGAAAATCAGGCATCTCAGATGACCCCCTTAAATAAGAGAGGCAGTTTCAGGATGCACAGGATTTCCCTATGACCAGTCCAAGGTAGCAATGGTCCTAAGCAATCAATTTCCTTCCTCTATCCTAATTTGCCCTTATACATCATATTCAAGATTTTATCTGGACAGGGGCTGGTTGGCTCAGTGGATAAACCTCTGCCTTTTCACCTCTGGGATCATGGTTCAAGTCAAACCCTGATGAAATGCACTTGATCGTCCTAATCTAGTTCCTAGTGGACAGTATTCCCATTATCTTTAAAAGGGTCAGAGCCAAGGCCATTGGAAAGAGTGCATTGTGCTATATCTTGTCTGTTGATTAATACATTTTCAGTGACGCCAGATCCTTAACCTTCATCAGCACACATATTCTCACAAAAAGCTTAATAGAGGTCCCTCGTGGACTAAACCTTTCTGCTCAATTTGCACATCATTTCATAATTTCCTGGGAATACTAAAAAAAAACCCACAAATAAATTACTTACAATTTAAAAGTATGTTTGCCTGAACTGTTTGCAATAACACCTCTAAGTTAATTAGCCTGATACCAGATCACTTTAAATCACTACTTCTCAGAGGGAGAACAAGACCTTTATTACTCAATTCATTTTTACATCATAAGCTTCTTCTCATACCATAACAGATGAAGCTGAACAGACACACAGAATAAAGGGAATTTATTCTGTGAAGGGAGTTCACTGTTCAAAACACAAAACCTGAGTAAGAACGTACTCTCCGTAGGAGTTCACTGTTTGCCCTCTGCATCAAGAGAACTGATGGACAATTAGAGTAAGAAATGGAATCACTTCCATCCATGGAAATCCAAGCTGAAAATCACTGGGCTTTTCAGTGTAACACTCTGGGAGCTGGTTTGGGACGAATGCTGGTACAGCACCAGTGCCCTCTGAACTATCTGGTGATTCTGGAGCTGTGCAGCAGCACCCTTGGGCTAATCCTTGTGAGCTGAGCCCAGGCACAGACAAGGGCTGGCAGAGGGGCTGGTGAGGGGCAGGGGCAGCACAGCCCAGGACCACCAGGGACAGCAGGACCACCAGAGCAAGCACAACTCCACCATTAGTCACCAGCTCCCACAAACATCAATGTGCAAAAGAGATCATGAATTTAGCGGGAGTAACATCAGGTTCCATTCCTAAGACAATTAATTCACTGATTACTTTTATTACACAGTTGTGGTCCAAATCTTAAGGACACTGCATTAGCTTCTACCTGGATTGATTCTTTAACATGGATCACATGAAAGACAGGAATGTCGGCACTATTTCTCATTTCTGATTGTGGTTAAAGATTATAAAATGATTCCTAAGGATTAAATCATTCCTCTGTAGTCATTACAGGTTTTTACATTCTTACTATATATTTATTTAATTGACTACTGAAGAAATACAATTTAGCTTGTGGTTCTTTGGTACAAATCAATAACATGATTATATTTTTTTCATTAAATAATTACTCCTCGCTTGCTTTTCTTTTGATTATTTTGAAATTAACAGGGAACTCCTTTTGAAAAAAAAAAACCACAACAAACTACTTATAGCTTGATCTATCATAAACAATTAAGGAATTTGAAAATACTTGGTAGAAGGGTAGGTTTATTCAAAACCCCCCTGCACACTACTGCTCTCTGAAAGCACTGCCATGCTGATTTTTATCACCGAAAGGCTGGCAAATCCAAAGCTACGACCAAGTTTTGCGTGAATGATGCTCCAGTGAGCCACTGAGCTCAGGAGTGTGGGCAGCACCACAGACCTGTTGGGGAAGTCCATGGGAGGGCTCAGGGTGCTCTGAGTCCCCTGCGGGGACCACTGGGGTACTTTGGGCACAGAGTGGCAGTGGGGGCTGCTGCCTCTGGGAAGGTGTGAGCAGATGAGAGAAGCCTCATTTGTGCTCTGCCAAGCTCCCACGGGCAAGCCCCCGAAGCAGGAGGACACCATGGAGCTGATCAGCACAGCCTGGCTGTGTCCCACCATCCAGGCCAGAGGCACCAAGCTTTTGCTAATCAGAACACAGGAATTCAATATTAAGAAAGCTTTGTGTTATTGCTACAGCTGTTCTCAAACAGGCTTTCTCTTCTCCCTATCACCACAGAGCTGGATAAATCTGGGTGTTCCTTTCTGAAACACAACGATACAGAATGGTCACTGCACTCTGAGATAATTAATACAGGTAATTGCTAAGCTAACTTTGGAATAAGGTACAGATAAGTCGGATAAGCTACAGTTTAGTTTGGAAAAATTAGACCTGACAGATTACTGCATTCATTTCAAACTGAATTTCTGTTAAACAGGTAATTTGTACCTATATCAGATTTTTCATAAAAAATAATAATTTTTATAAATATACCTTAAGATCCTTTTTGTTGATTACAATGTAAAAAGGAAGGGATAACTGTGTATGGACAATGATAAAGTAGCCTGTTGATAATAAATATTTGTCAGGTCTTGCCACATCCGTACACATTCCAATGTTACTGAAGAGACACTGCACTGATAAAAAAAATACCCTCAGAAAAATCAATGGATTTTGAGCTAAAGCAGTTGCTAAACACACAGAAAACATCTTTATCCAACAGCCACAGTGCTGTGAAAATTCCCAAGCCTTGCATTGGTACAGCTAAGGAAAATTTAATCTTCCCAAATACTCATCAGGGCACTCCATCCTGCAGACCTGACAGCCCCACTTATAATTAATTATACAATTTCGATGGGAATATCGACTAAACAAAGCTATAAATCATAGAAAAAGTCAATAGGCATGGACACATTCAATCATGTCCCGACCAATGATTACTACTCTTAAAATACAATAATTATTTTCAGGAGCCAGCTTGAATTAAATTTCTGTCAGGCTGGTACAAGACCGGCGGTTGATGAAGGATGCGATGGATTTTTTGGGTTGAATTCGGCACAGAGACATTTATCCTTTTAGAGAGGTAGTTTGTTTTTAGTGATCATGGTGCTGCGTGTTTAACTAGACCATGAAGATTAGATTATCTCCAATGGCTCATTATATCATTTATCTTTTTCTTCCATGTTTGATCTGGAAGATTTCCCGCTTCTTGATGCATGAAAGAAATGACTACTGATTTTGAAATGGAATGTGTTTAAGTGGGATTCTGCCTGAGCCTTCACACCCCGCGGCCCTGTATGCAAATCAACCAGCAGCCATCCAAAATGCCACTGGGACATGGCAAATGGCACCACCAGGAAGAGCTTTGCTCAGCTTCAGGAACATACTGGGGGGAAATACAAATGACAGACACTTGAGTTCTTCTTAAAAAAAAAAAGCTAAAAAAGTTATTACAATAATACACACAGAGGAAAAGCTGGGACAGGAATGGCATTAGTATGGAATTGGAAGGAGAGTTATTGCTTTGAATTAAATGTCCCCAAAACTGCAAAAGATCAGTGAAAGAAACATTATGTATTTCCCTAGGATGCATTCACTTTGGGAATTTAAAACCAACAACCCCCACAGTGATCTCACAGTGTATTGAAGGCACATTGCCCACACAGGTGAGCACACAGGACACACGAGTCACACTGGGAAGGGATGGCAGCAGGTGCTAAAAGGAGAACCAGACCTTCACCTCCCTCATGGGTTTCACTCCTCAAATTCTTCTGGCCTCAACAAATGAGTGAGATCTCAGATTCTCACATGGAATTAACCTCCTAGGTGAAGCCCACTTAAAAACCAGAGAGGGTACCAGGGCTTCAGCTGCCCTCCTTGCCCCTGGAGCCTCACAGAGAGCCTCCAACAGCCCAGCTCTCTGTGAACAGTGGGAGAATGAGCCATAGGCAGGAGAGGAGAAGAGAGGAGAGGAGAGAGAGGGACAGTCACAGATCGTGTGTGCATCCTATCCCTGTCACAAAGCAGCCACAAGCTGTGTGAGCAGGCAGAGAACTTATTCCTTTAGATACATAACTCCTAGGAACCTTGGATGAAAACAGAGGAAGCTGCAAGCAGTGATATACAGATTTTCCAAAATGAAATAAAATCACCTGAAAGAAAATATAATGCCACTTTTCACAGAAAAATCACAGTCCTTATTACAAATCAGAGCATTAGTGTTCCCTGTCTGCTTTATCCTCTTGGGAAACCTTTTGATTGCCCAAACAGTGACAGTCTGCTGCAGGGTTTGAGATTTCTATTCTACTTATTGTGTTTCTAGTATATTTTGTACTCTCAGAAATATTTTCAGAACAGCTTTGTATGAAGGGCTTTTCCTAAGTTACTGTGGTGCACTGTGAAGAGCTAGTAATGAAACAAGGTGCTTGAAGAAATGCAGACCAGAGGATAGGAAAAAAAAAGTGAATCATCATATACATTTAATGTACAATTTTTTTCTATAATAAAGAAGGTAAACACACCAAAGTTAAGAACCTGCACACAAAATAACTGGCTAAGTGATGAGGAAATCTGGAGCTGTTATTATGTTGGTTCTTCTCATTCTGCAGACAGGAGGGCTGATAAAGATAAAGGGCTGGTTAGAGAAAAGCAATTTGTATGTGACTAGTAAAATTACTCCTTCAAAAGTGTTTAGCAATGAACTTACCGCAGTGCCATTGTTATCTCTAAATACGTCTTGATTAAAATAGTCAAAGAGCTTCTTTTCTAATTGCAGCATAACCTAAAAAAACCCAAACAAACAGAGGAGAAAGGTCAGCAAAGCTCTCGGACTTGGCTGCCCAACACCCAGCTGCTGGCAGTGACCCTTCCAGAGAGATGCAGCCCTTTAAAACCACACGACATTTGCACATGTCCAAAGCCCCTTGTCAGCTGGCCCATTTGCTTGGCTGGCAATCACTTAAACAGATCCAATTAACTGAGCATTAGGTGTGACAATCTATATCCCTCCCCTCCCTCTACATTATCAGTTTGGAACAACTATATTCATGCTCTGTAGAAAAGAAAGTGAACATTCAACACCGTTTCTATTTACACAGGGGTGCTGAGGGCATTAAGTTGTTTACCTTTCGGTCATTATCAGATTCACGAAATATTAGCTTGACTACTTCATTTGTGTCAGCTGCCCGGATGGTCTGCATGGTGGCCTTTGCACATAGTGTCTAAGAAAAACACAAAGGGAGAAAGGGAAACAAGTTTATTCACAACAGAAGGCCAGATTTAATCGAACATTATCAATCGATGTATCCTCAATGCCCACCTGGAAATATGATTTGCTGTAGGTCAAAATACAAAACGTTGCTAACTTAAGTCACTTCCACTCATGATGGACTTGAAACAATAACTTGAATTACCATTTGGAGAGAAACAGGCAATATTAAGAAAGTATCAATCAGATAAGGCAAATAAGCTTTCAGCTTGCTACCATGCAGACAGGTCCTTTCACAGGTATCGCGCATTACTTGTAAACATCCTCCAAACCACTTCTTACAGCTCATGACTCCACACCCCGCTGGGTTCTATGCCAGTTCCTAAGAGCTGGTAACTACACTGGCACTGCAGTTCTGTGAGTTAACTCTTGTTTGCAAAAACGTCTGCTCTGTAAATTCATTTTCCAAGTACACTTTGGAAGCCTGAGCAATCTGGCAGCAACTTTCACGGTTTACTTTGGATAGCAAATTCCCCGTGCAGCATTCTTTAAACTAGAGACAACGCCACATCTCCAAATATTCTGAGGACTGGGTGCCTAAAACACATTGTAAATCAACACTTTATCAGGAACAGAGGTATGAATTTCCACAGAAGCGTTGGGCCTTGGTCCATTGTCCCCTCTCCTTGCTGAGGCCCAGCTCCCCTGGCAATGGGGAGTAACAGGGAATGGGCCGTTCAAAGGGCTGGCTCCACTGCACAGCAACAGGTGAAATCTGGAGCTTTTAGAAAAGCACTTGGGCATAAATTTTACTTAAAAACATACTTTAGATTTGCTGAATCTATACTTTCAGTGAAGCTTTAACTATGTTAAGGGCTTCAAAATGCAGGGATAGACTACATCTTAACTGAGGGGAGGGGTGGGCAGGTTCACCTTGTGCTCTGCAGTCCCCCTGCCTGGGCAGGGTTGTGAGGGTTGTGCACAGGTACCCCTGCCCCTCTGCCTGCCTGCTGGTAACCACGAGGCAGCAGGCAGAAAAGGGGAACTGAGGAAACTTTAGCACTTTTCAAAGGCAGAGATGTGCCCCCACATGTGGGAGGCAGCTCAGCATCCTCACCTGCAACAGAGGCACAGGCTGCTGACAGGATCTGTGCACAGCCCTGGATATGGGTACTGGCAAAGGCCATCATGAACAAAATCTTATTTTGCTAGAGGTTTTAAACAAAGGCATGCTAAAGAAAACAACTCAGTCAAGGAAAGCCAAAGAGGTGACTTCTCTGCTCTGCCTGCTCCATTCCTTTTCGTAATGGCCGGACAACAGATTTTCATTTTGCAAATATTCACGAGTAAAATGTTCCGTGGTAACAGGGTAATAGAATTTCACATCCTACTACATGCTTCTTCCTCTCACAAATAGAAATACTCATATTTGGATTCATTATCAGAGTTGCATTATCTATCAGACACAAGGCCATGAACTACAGCTCACTTCTCCCTTCCCCATTCTCACTTTCTCCTGAAGGCAGAAACACATGCCAAACACGCATTTAAACAAAAATCCATCTGCTTCCAAATACTTTAGATCTCAGCTGAGGTTACTGGCTCCAGAATGGGAACAATCTGTCAATGGACATTCTGCTCCCAGTTGATAAAAGATTTGATCCTTGATAAAGGCCCTTGCTTATTGCCACAGTACAAACTGTGTCCAGTTTGTAAAACAGCAGTGAGCTGAGCGACTTCATCTTTAATGGGTAACTTGTGATTTGGTAAAAAAAACCTAAATCTGATATTTTTCTTCAAGTCTGTGAATGAAACAGGTTCCAACTCCCCATCTCACTGAATGAATGATGTCCATTCCTGACAAACTTTTTTGACTGTTTCCTCACTCCCCAAAAGCATTGCCATGTCCACGGATCACACACATCTCACTCCAGGTTTACCCTAAAATACTCAGCACACGCCAAAGCAGTTGTAGGTGTCTGCACAATCAGAGGTTCCACTGGCACAAGGGGCACTAGCCCCACGGGCACAAGCACAGGCTGCCCTGGGAGAACTCCATCTGCTCTGCAGGATTTTAAGGTGTTTTTTTGGAAGGCTTAGAAGAAGAGCGGGAAGATGCCGGTGGTGGTTGGTTAAAACCTCACTCTGTCAGGGAGGAGAAGGAAGGGCACGGTGATCGCACAGGGGCTCCACTTCTGGGACCACTCACTTTAGGCGCAGACCTCCTACCTGTTCCCTCGCACCCACCATGTCCTGTCGGATGATCCTTTTGTCCCTCAGACACGCACTGACTGCCTGGCCATCTGTGTCCGCACGGAGCCAGTGAGGTAATCCAGCAGCGAGCCATTCCCAACCGCGCTCCCTCCGACCCACTGATTGAAATTCAGAGCACAGACACATAATCGGGTCAAGCCCAAAAAAAGAGCGCTTTGGGCTCATGTGTCACAAATCAGTCTGGTCCCTTCAAACAGCACACCAGATTAGAACAAGCACCCGAACAAACCAGAGCGGAAAACCCGCCGCTCTCTAAAGCTGGTTTCTAAAGCCCTAACAAATCGCTCCATCTTTCACTCATTTAAACTTTCCAAATGAGGGTCAATACGGTCCCCGAGCATCCAAATGCTAATGCGCTTAAGTGCGCTTAAGCAGCTTTCCAGAGTGAATGGGCCAAAGAAGGGCTCGAAAAGACACGGCAGAGTTACTGTCACTGTCAAAAAGTCATTGTAGCCACCCCCAGAGTGGTTGCAATTCAACAAATTCATGATTTCTGTCTCTTAAAGGCATCTGCTTGAGAACATTTTTTTCCCTGAGCTGCTTTATCTCCCAACTTCAGTCCGTCTCCAAAAGAAAAACCCCTCGATCGACTCTTGAGAACCGATACAGAGAAAGGACCCACATACCTTATTGCTTTCAAATTTCACACGCACAAAAAGTTACCTTATTCACAGACAAAAGTGATTGGGCAAAGGTTCATTTCTTATACAAGCTGGAGCACTCCTTTTTTCCTCCTCCTTTCAATTTCTACACAGTCGTAGTCACCCAAGCAGAAAACTTTCGGGACCATGTGCCTTTTTAGGCAAGTCTGCTTATGAAGGGGTTTTTTGTTGCTAGTAAAGAAAATCAAAATGCTATGAAAACCCACTGTTCCTTGCTGAGTATTCCCTCAAAGGTACTCTTTTACAAGGGGAGAAGAGGGGAAATCAGATATCAAAACTCAACATAACTGTTTTGGTTTTTTTTAATATATTTTCTTTGGAAATAAGATTTGGTTAAAAAGCTTGCAGAAGAGTGGCATTCAGAGCTGAGAGACAGCTAAGTATCCAGCCTTTCCCCAGCAAACACAGCTGTGTCTCATTCCTGTTTTCCCATACTCCACACAGGTAGATGCTTTGTAGTACTTTTGAAATAACCCTTTGTGATAATTTATGTGTATGGAACTGTAAAACATAGCAACAACTTTCCTGACAATGGCCTTGGGATGTAGCAACGATGTCCTGTTAGGCTAAGCCAGGAGGGAATGTTTTTTTATACTGGCAAGAGACAAGTACGGAATTTATTTTAAACTTGGCAATCCTCAGAAATGGAAAGCTTGTTATTTACCACATAACACACCTTTAAAATAGATCTGCTCCCCCCTACACACCACACAGCAAAGTGTTTCAGACTATATTTCTGCATACCTACAGTCAAAAGGAATACAGACATTAAAACAATTGTGTTATATATATATAAAGCATGCAACACTCTGTAACATATTTTACATTGTGTTTGTATGGAAGCACTGTGAGCAGCTGTGGACTGCACTGCTGCCTCCTGCACTCCATCCTGTCTACTGATGTTAAAGATGTGTATTATTTTTCCCAATTATTTGAATACTTTTCTTAGGACTTATTACTTTGAATTCTTCTAGAAAAAAAAAAAAAAGAAAAGAAAGTAGAAAATATACATTGTTCTTGTACAATTAAGAAAGTTCAGCAATAGCTGCCATTGCAATTTGCAGTGCTGCATGGATTGACACAGACGTGTTCATGGCTGTGAGTGCCAGGAGAGTAGTGCAGAGTTTGAAGACTGCTAACAGGAGCCAGGTGAAATAAGGTCTTGAGCACATGAGCAACCAAATCCATTACATTTAAGATATTTCATTTTATTCCAGTTACGTACTCTGTGGGTTCTGGCAGGACAGAAAAGACAGATGTACATGGATCATCTAATTATGACAGTGAAATACGTCTTCTGAAATGCTGCTCAAGATTCAAAATCAATCTGAGACTTATTAAATTAGGATAATCAAATGCTTTTTTTATTATTATCTGGATGCAAATTGTATTTGAAATAATCATCAGCAAGGTAAAAGATTTGCTACTTTGGGAATAACAGGAACATGTCTTGTTTGGGCTTCTCTTTTCCTGTGAGGGGCTGATACAATTTCCTGGATATTGGGAATATACCACCATCAAATTCACCAAATCACATGATGTAAGAGAAATGAAATTTGCAAGTGAGAAAAACAAAGTTAAATGTAACTTTCTGAGTCAAAGGGAGTTGAGTATTTAGCCACAGGACAGGTAACACTGTGGTTTTCAAACTCTACCTGCCACTGAAATGGAGGCTGGTCTTTCAGAGCCATGGAGAGGGTTTTGGCCTCACAGCTGCTGCAAACGTCAGGGGCATCACAGGGCTCAGTCCCCCAGGGTGCAGCAATCAAACCCTATCTGAGAGGACACACACTTCTATTGCAAAAATATCCTTTAGACTATATATTAACTTGTGTTAATTTTAATTGTGTGCAAATAGCTATAATGTCCCACAGCAGTTGCTACACCTGTAATACTAATAAGCTCTGAGGAGCAGGAATTGAGCTCAGCAGTGACATAAATGTTACTTGAACAAAGAACAAATACAAACAAGTATTAATGAGAAGTCACTTAAAATATCAACATGGAAAATTACTTTCTCTTGGGATGTTCCCAGAGGAGTCAGCTCATGTCCAGGGGCGCAGAGGTGGCAGAGGAG